GGCCGCTGAGGGAGGAGCTGGAGGCGCCGCCCGGGTCCCGGCGGAACCGCCCTCCTGGCCGAGCCCCCGCCGCGGAGATTTGAACTTGGAAACGCCAGGGCTCGCGGTGCGGGGGTGGGAGGGTGGGAGACCCACCCTTCGCCCTGGCTGAGCCTGGCGAGTCCGACCCTCCGCCCCCTGCCTGTCGCCTCCACTTCCAAATACGCCCGCACCCTGGATCCCCTGCCCGCAGTCCTATGCAAAGAGAGGTCCCGGTCTTTGGCTCCCAGGCGGCTCTGGGTTTCCCAGCCCTCGAGAAACATGGGCGGTCATTGAAGGGGATGTCCAGTAGGGGATGGCCCTAGACTTGACTCTGAACCCTAAGGAGCAAGTGAAACCCTTCTACCCAAGTCCAGACTGGCTTCCATACCAGCGCACCACGTCCCCACGGGCTCCCACCCGCTGTGCAGCCTTCGGAGGGTACATCCAATCCTCGGTCGCAAGTCACGCAGGTCGGAAGCTCCTTGGAGTTGCCGGGATTTACTGTCCCCTCCCACCCTTATTCTGCAATTCCCCCCACCCCCAAGTCAACTTTCCCTGTGCCTGAGCTCTCCACGCAAACAGGACCCCAGGTCCAGCCCGGAGGCGGTGGCCCAGGGGCTACCCCTGAGGAAGGATCTATTTATTGCAGCCCACAAGCTTGGTTATATTTTAGCAGGAAACTGTAGATAGGTCCCTTGTTACTGAGAGAACAAGCCGCAAGCCGGGAGGAACAGTAACATTCATAACACAGAAATGACCTTAGCTAGGGCTCACGCCTCCCTTAGGAGGCAGACACTCTCCCCATTCTGCGAGTGTGGAGACCAAATCTCTCGGAGTGGGAGAGCTTGCTCCGTATCATACATCGAGGACTGGACAGACCTGAGACTCAAAATTGCACAGAAGTAAAGACACACACAATGCAGAGCAGGCAAAACTGGCGAAATTCCAGTAAGGCTTCATTCGTGTCAGTTTCCTGGTTGTGATAGGGATCTACAGTTATGCAAGATGTTATCATTGTTTTAAAACCCAAGCTTTCTTCCTTCCACACAGTGCACCTGGGGACGAGGAACAAGAAGAGGTTCATGTCCCTGTCTCCTTCGCAACACTCTGGGAGAGGCACACACACTCACGAGCCGTAGGCATGGCTGCCAGCCAGTAGTAATTATAACACACACACTTCATTTGGAGGCCAGCTAATCCGTTACCAGAATACTTACACAGGTGTCATCTTATAGATAAGAATATAGTGCTCACTGGGCACTAAACAGCCGTCAGTCTCGGAAGGTAAAAATGAAGAGGTGTCCTTGTTTCTAATCTGCGCCATGGGAGCCTCATTCTGATGGTTATTTCTCCAACCATAACCTTTTAATCTGCAAGAATCCTTAAGGGTGAAATTGCTCATGAGCTTTAAAGCAGTGATCTTGGGGGGCCCAGGGATGTTGAAAGTGGCCTTCTCTGCCTGTGGAGAAAGATCAGAATTGCTGGGGGTTGTATGATTTGAGGAGAGAGGAGTGACTGGAGTTGGTGCTGGGGCTGGGGCCTGGGATCCCTTCCAGCCTCTGCAGAGGAGGGAGAAGTGTGGAGCGCGGCGACTGGGTGGTGTGGGCTGGAGGAACAAGCTTACCAAGAAAGATCATTTCTAGAACATCACATGCCTATAATTGGACAGATGGTTAGTCCTGGTCCAGACTAGAGTTGCTGGAAAAAAGCAGGGACTTCCCTTAGGGCCTATTGTTTGACCTTTTTTCTATTAAATAAAAAATAACAGCAGGTATTGCAGCCAACCTGCAGACCTAAAATACAAGATAAGGAACCCAAAAGAAATGTAAATGTTTACCTTTCACAAACTAAATTTCATTTTTAATCTGTTGCAGTTTATCTGTCTCTGATTTTAACTCTCATTTTACACAGTACCTGTTTTAGGGACCCAGGATTCTTGAGGAATTTGTACATGGCATTTTCAAGTGGTTTTCTGCTGCTTTTCACAGGATGGAACTGACTTTCTTAGAGAGTTACACACTCTAAAAGTTAACTGAAGAATAATACATGGAAGAAGAAGTAATTTGGTAGTTATTAAATTAGAATCAAGACAAGAAAATGAATTCGAGAGAGAGAATATAAATTCTGAATTCAGGCCTTGTAAATTTCTGGAGTCAAAAGAGTGACTTTTTTTATTTCTGGATGAGGAAAGGTTACAGCTCTAACCAAACTCAGTCCAGTCTCTCCCAAGTCACAGGTGAGTATAAGTCATTTCTTATTCACAGAGTAGCCAAATAGCCTGTCCCTCAGGTAGCAAGTCCCAGCACCTTCCACACATCTGTGACAGATGCCTTTCTTATCTCCCTGACCATTTGAACTGGCAGAATAGTTTTCAGGTAAGCTGTAGAACCTGTAAGGCCAATGGTTAAAGCAGTTAGAGTCCAGCCCAGGGACCGTCTGGGTGAAAGAAAAGGGCATCACACTCCCCAAGTCCGTAAGGAAGATTGATGGTGTAAGGAGGAAGAGGGACATTTGGGTTCTGGACATGCAACTCAAGGGCTTAGAGTTTCAGCAGCAAAATGTTGGTGATTAGGAGAAAAACACAGAAAGGGGACTGGAAAGGAACAGAAAGAAAAGGATTGTACACTACTGCCCCTGGAGGACCCTTACTAGAAATTGGAATTCTCTCTCAATACTCCCCCATGAAGTACATGAAAGAATGATAGAACAAGATTCCACACAACTTATTGTTTTTAAGGAAGCATTGAGTACCTTCTCTGTACCTAATACTATCCCGCAAGTCCTAAGATGTTCAAGGGAAGCTGTGGCCTCAAGGCCTCCAGATCCCCAGTGCAGCTCCTTGACCAAATCCAAACTTCACAGAACTTTATTAAAAGGATTTGTTCTGTGAAATTTGGATTCAGTCAAAAGGCCACACTCCAAGATCCAAAAGGCCCCATGTGGTCCCACAGCTGCAGGTTTCCCAGCCCTGATTGAAGAATGTATCCTCCTTTCTTGGGGAAGCAAAACTGTGCACACATGAGAGAGTAAGGAATGCTGGTAGGTGGCATCAGATTCTGACCAGGTCCTCCAGTGGGGGACGTATACATACATGGCAGAGAAGGGAGCAAGAATTTCCCCAAACATGGTTTCCAGCAGGTCATTCTGGTCTATTTTTTCCCTGATGTTCAAGGCTCTACCTGACCAGTGCAGATGTCTGTGACCTCTATACCCACAGGCAACCTTCCACTCCATTCCAGTGGGCTTCTGGGCCTTCCCTCCAGTGCTCTTTCTGCTGATCATCAGTCCTAAGGTGCAGTGGAGGCCTGGTCTCTGTCCACTGCTGGTTATGTGGCCCAGCACTTGAAGCAGGCAGGAAGTGATTACTGCACATGCATCTTTTGGACCTCACGGGCTGCGCATTAGGTACTTTCCAAACATGTGGCACTCCAGGGAGAAGAGCTGGTGGCATGTGTCTGTGTGGGAGGTGGGGGGATCCTCACTGTTGGAACAGCCCTTTCCATGCAGCTAAATTCTGGAAATGTTGTACTATTTTGAAGACTGTAAATGCCCAAAGGCTGCCATTATAGCTTCATTCAAAGGAGAAGGAAATGAAATTTTGTTTTAAGAACTATTGGTGTTCCTTCCCCTCCCACGCCCTTCAACACTTAACCAAAATGACATGAAATCTTTTCTTCTTAAAAATGACCTTTGGATGGAAGATGATGTAACATTTTTCCCAAGCAAAACTAATTTGAATTTTCTAGAATTTGATGTACACAAAAAAGAAATGGGAACCCAGAGACATATATATATATATATACATTTCAGAAACATGTATTTTTTAAGTTCTCTCCAGCAGAAATACAACATGAACTACATGTGTGATTAAAAATTGTCTAGTAGCTACATTTTAAAAAGTTAATAACGAACACATTAAAATTAATATTTAACCCAATATACTCCAAAATGTTATCATTTCAACACGCGGTCGATATGAAAAACATCAGTGAGGTACCTCATGCTTGCTTTCACGGGAAGTCTTTGAGCCCTGGTGAGTATTTTGCGCTGGCAGCGTGTCTCAGTTCAGACTGGTCACGTGGGGCTGGTGGCTGCCATATAAGCGCAGTGTTGGAACAAGAGGAGGATTCTGATCCTGGGTTTAGGAAGGTTTTGCTCAGGATGTCACATCTCTAGGCCTGGGCTGGTTTCCACCAGCCCTCACCCCCGAGAGGATTTCTGGCTGACCATGGAACAAAGCACAATGTTGAAAAACATTTTCTTTTAATTGCTGTCGTCTAAACACTTTGGCCCCTCAACGTATTTTTTAAAATAAAATTTTGGAAGAAAATGGGCCAATATATACTACTTTAATACTAGGAAATGACTACCCTGTAGGCTGTTTGTTACAGCGCCCACCTCCCTGCCGCCCACGTGTTTTCTGTGTCCACAGGTGCCAGCAGAGAGAGGCCTGAAGGCCAGGCAGGCAGTGGCCGCTGGGGACGACTCATCCAGGGACAGGTGAGGGGGGCTTCTCTGTCTTCTGCCTTCCCTCCCCCCACCCACACCAGCTCCTGCCACCATCCCCAGGCCCCAGGCTGTTTTCTGTGATTAATCTCTAACACCTTGAAATAACTGAGTGCCTGATTTTCTTCCACTCTGCACGTTTTGTGGTGCTTTCGATTCTGATTCAAACGAAAGCCGAAATTCAGGGGAAATGACCATTTCAAACACAGAAAATGAGACCGACAGGAAGAGAGTGTTGCTGCCGATCATGAGGCCCTTGGGAAGTTTACACCTGGGTTGGTGAGACAGCAATTACATAATGGCCTTACAAAAAGCTTGTGATCTGCATTTCACTTTCGATTGTGAGGAATAATTCTCTAAGGATATAGTTTAGACCTCCTTGCACCCAAATATTGAGGTCAAAGTTGTGCTAAATCTTATGGCACTGGGTTCTGGGAGTCATATCCAAATCTGCATAAAATGTCTCAGAGGCTGAAGCATTGGGGCCAATGCTTCCATTCCCAGATGCCATATTCAACCCTAATAACAACGTGTTTTGTCTGACTCTTGATCATTAAGCTTCACTCACATCATGCAGCCTGTCTCTGGGTCCCTCAAAGTGCAAATAAGACAGAAGGAAACAAGATCAGCAGGGAGGAACATGGTGCCTATTTATGGTCATAGGTTAAAATCAAGAACGAGAGAGAGAGAGAGAGAGAGAATGAAAGTGTGTGTCTATTTTTAAGCAGGTTGTAGGTGTGCTGAGCTGCTTCTGACTGTCACTTCAGATCCTCTCTCTGCCCTTTTCCACCCGCATGTGCCCTAAAAGGCCAACCTGGATGTTCTGCGTTAACAGGCTCCACCAAGCCTGGTGTCCCACAGGTTCAGTTAATGGGATCACTGGGAAAAAGGGCTGGAAGGAGCTGGAGCAGGAGGCTGAGGTGTTTAGTTCC